GTTTGGCTATGTATACATTTTACTAGCAGTAGATTACATGTCCAAGTGGGTGGAGGCTATCCCAACCAAGACCAATGACCACTGATTCGTGGTCAAGTTTCTCAAGAAGAACATTTTTTCGAGGTTTGGGATGTCTCGTGCAATGATAAGTGACGGTGGATTACATTTCTGCAGTAGACCATTTGCATCTTTGATGCACAAATATGGTGTCACACATAAATTATCCTCCGCATACCACCCACAAACCAATGGCCAAGCCGAGTTAGCTAATAGGGAGATCAAGAATATCTTAGAGAAAACGATTAACCCAAATAGGAAAGGTTGATCAGACAAACTGATTGATGCCCTATGGGCTTACCGCACCACCTACAAGACTGTCTTAGGCATGTCCCTCTATCGGCTTGTCTTTGGAAAGGCTTGCCATTTGTTAGTCAAGATGGAACACAAGGCCTATTGGGCTATATAGACTTTGAACTATATGTTGAGAATGGCTAGAGAACATAGGAAGCTCCAATTGAACGAATTGGAAGACATTTGAAGAGACGTGTATGAAAGCTCTAAAATTTCAAAAGAACAGGCTAAGATCTTTCATGACAGCCAAAAGGTGCTCTTGTACAACTCTTGTCTCTCAATTTTCCAGGCCAAACTTCGATCCCGTTGGGATGACCTATATCTTGTGAAGGTGGCCTACCCCAATGGAGTTGTGGATGTCACAAACCCTGAGAATGGCCAGACATTCAAGGTCAATGGTTAAAGACTTAAGCCATTTTTTGAAGGTTTTGAAGGACAAGGAGTGGAGGAAGATTTGACGAATCCGGTTTATTCGAAATTTGTGGAGGAGTAGCTAGTCTTTATGATTTTTAGTGTATAGTCTTCTTATTTACTTATGTTATTGTTATTTTCATGTTACTTACTTTACTTGGCCGTATAGTATTGTTTCTCTTAGTTTCAGATATTAGTGTTGTTGTCAAAGCTCAATTGCGAGGTGTACTCTAACCCCAAACATCTTTGTACTATCTTTTGATGAGTGGGTTTTATACCTGAGAATTGAGTACTTTCGGCTTTATGAAATTGCAAGTTTTCAATTATTTTATGTTTTTTTTATTTGTTTTGTGTTTTTTGATGTTGTTTGGTAGGAATCATTATTTGGAAGCAAAAAAGATCATTTGGAAGGAAATAAGATCAATTTGGAGCCTAAGTGTTGAATTTTTTAAAGGCTAAGCAACAAGGGAAGCTTTTGGCTACAAAAGGGGACAGTGCAAAGTTAGCATCTTTGGGCCCACATTCTGCCCATGCAGCGCAAAACCAGTGCCTAGGCACTTGTGTTGGCTCTGAATGCAAATTTTAACTTGTTTTTTACCCGAAATTGAACCCTAATGATACATATGCTAGGGTTTGAGTTGGGTCAGAGAGATATTAATTTTGGAGACTGCTAACATAAGAAAAGACCAAGGATTAAAAGAAAATTGAAGACACAGATCGAAGAAATCGACACAAAGAAAATTGGACTTGAAGGCCAGAGAGAGATTGAAGATTGCAACTAAGTTTTCATTCTTTTCTCTTACTGTTATTTTTTAATTTTCTAAGATGTTGTTTAATTTGAGAATGATATTTTTCAATTACATTATGAACCAAATTCTTATTAAGATTGCAATGGAACCTGATGTTTAGTTAAATTGATATATTATCGATTCTAGTTCTATTGATCATACATGAGTTGTTTGTCAGATTTTGTGCTTAATATATGATTGTGTGGCCAACAATTAATTATATAACCTAGATGAAATTGGAAGATGAATTCTAGATTTAGATTTGAATATGATGACATGTGTCTAGTTAATTCTTCTTAGGATTGAATTGTTGGGTTTGTGTATAGGATAGGAATATACCTATATGTCGTGTGTAACTATTATGAAACTCTGAACTTAATGAATCTATTCTAAATTATTTTTCATAGGAATATAGTAATTTAGTTAGGATAGATATTTTTATCTAACTATCGAAAGAAGTTTGATAAATAATTTTGAATTTTTAGTTAACAACTTGTTTTGATCAATTAACTGGAAAGACAGTTAGAAAGGTTTATACGAATCATTAGGAGAAGTTGTAATCTTAACTTATTTTATCCGGTAAATTCAACCATTAATTATTAAGTTTAGATTTAATTTTAAATTAGTAATTCCAATTGTTTAAATAAAATTGAATTGATATAAAGTTAGTACTTAAATATTATTAGCAATAATTCTCCGTGGGAATCGAGCTCTACTTATACTTTATTACTTGCTGATCATATATACTTGCACGTAAATTATCAATATTAAATTAGGACAACAAATTTTTGGCGTCGTTACTGGGGATTCATTCTAGTAATTATTTTAATATTAATTTCAATCAATTTGATCTTAGTTTAAACTTATTTAATTTTTTATTTTAGTTGTTTTCGTAAGTACTCTTGAATTTTGTATACAAACATAATCTACAGGTCAGGAGCTGTTATCGTACGAAGAGGAAATTGAAAGAAGGCTCTGAAACTTGAGAAAAGCATTCTCAAGAAGTAAATAATCAAGAAACTATGGTGGAAGATGAACAAAAATCGCTAAAGGATTATGCTATGCCGCTTGTGACGGAAATACAATCGAGCATTCAAAGGCCCGTAATTCAAGCAAATAGTTTCAAGATCAAGCGGGGTACCATCCAAATGATTCAGAATTCAGTTCTGTTTGAGGGTTTGCCTAATGACGACCCAAACTATCATTTGGTGAGTTTTCTGGAGATTTGCAACACGTTCAAATACAATGGGGTTTCTGAAGATGCGATTAGACTCCGAATTTTTCCTTCCACACTTCGTGATAAGGCAAAGAGTTGGTTGCATTCATTGTCGTCGAGTTCTATTACCACATGGACAGATTTAGTTCAAAAAATTTTAGCTAAATTCTTTCCACCAACTAAAATTGCAAGGATGAGGAACGACATCACTTCATTCGCACAGCATGATTCTAAGACTCTATATGAAGTTTGGGAGCGATTCAAGGATTTACTTCGAAAATTTCCTCACCATGGTATTCCTAAGTGGTTGCAAGTTCAAACATTCTGCAACGGGTTGTTTAGTGCTACTCGGATTAGAATCGATGCAGTTGCAGGTGGAGCATTGATGAAAAAAAAATTTGATGAAGCTTATGAGCTATTGGAAACGATGGCTGCCAACAATTATCAGCGGCCCTCTGCAAGGATCAATCAGTCAAAGGTAGCTGAAATTTATGAAGTTGATGCGGTTACTGCATTGGCTACACTGGTTGCTACATTAACAAAGAAGGTTGATGCTTTAGGGGTGCAGCCTGTTTAGAGTGTGGTAGTTGTGTGTGAATTGTGTGCCAGGAACCATTTGAGCAATCAATGTGTAATTAGTTTAGAATCGGTATAATACGTTGGTAACTTCAATAGACAGCAATTTAAAGTCCATGGTCAAATAACCACCTAGATATTATCATATTGTGTCATTAATGTGTCCATACTTGTTGTGTAATCTTGCAATATATTTGGATGTAGATGGCTTCCAAATATACAAATATAGGTGATATAAGGCTGCATTTGTACTTCTATCCAAGGCCAAGAGCTAAGTTAAATAAAGAGTGTTTTCTTTCTCCTTCGACAAAATACCCAACATTATGGTCGGTAGGGTTTAACCACTATACTCTAAATATTGGTATTGCAAAGTTCTCTTCAGCATCCTTTAGCTCCTGATGGTTCTCTAATTTCTTCTTTTCCTCAAATTTTAACCCTGGATTTAGAGGATGCATGCCAATCTTCCTTTGGATCTGTTTCAGGACATGGCATGCTTCCTTGGCCCTCATGAGATATCACAAACAGATTTTCTATCCAGCGTTTTCAAAACACCCTTCAATGTTCTGAGTTTTATGATACACCTGACGCATACCTGATGCATAGGTAGTCCTCCACGTTGAATTGGCCAAGCTCTTGTAGCAATGGAGAAACATTCCTAATGTTTTGTACAAAATTCAAAGAGCTTGAAAGTTTTTTGCACTTCGGCAATCTTCTACCCAATCTGACCAAGCCTAGAAAATGATTTGACACACCTAGTGTGTGGAATTCAGCCTCTGATAGAGGAAATTCCATTTGCCGACTCACATTTACCAACACCCGATCCCATTTGCTAGCAATATTCTCTCCTTCAAATCTTTTGTTACACAGTGTATTGGAATTCAGAGAATTCAAGACCGTCAATCTCAGCTTGGTATAGGCAATCAGAAAAATCTTCACTACCATTATCTCTATTAGAACCTTCACCCAATTGTTCATTTGCATATTTAATAATGTGAAACTTACCAAGGATGATCCACTCCATAGTTGCTGCCTCAATTTGTGTAATCTAGCATACTATCAAACGCCAAGATTTCAAATTCTCAAAAAAGCCATTAGAGACAAAAGAATTGTATATGGCCTAGAGTCATTTGGGGATATGCTTGGAGTCATTTATCCATCTCATTATATAATTAGATACATATAAAATAGTTACTTATTTTGGTCAAAGTTGGCATACCCAATCTGAGCCACACATAGGTTAAATTACAAAAGGAGCGTGGATGTGTGTTCAAAATTGGTTTATTTGGCATTTCGAATAAATCAAAATGAGACAAAATAAACTATATCTGAATTATAAGTTTTTACCTTTGCCCTTTCTTATAGTTTGTATTTCATTTGGAATCAAAAAGACACAAAAGCAATACCTAGAAAGTTGTGTATTGTTTGACTTTACCGAATTATAAGTTTAGCTATCAACTTAATTTAGTTCTGAGAGTGGTCTTAGTACTTATTTAATAGGAATGTAGATAAAATAAAACAATATTCTATTTTTGTAAGAAAGACAAGAAAACTCTCTAACCAAAATACTAAGTCACTGCAATATCCGATTTCATATCCCGTATTTCAACGTCAAACCTTCACATCTAATTCTATACTAGGCCTCCTCATTGGGAGACCCATCTCTCTCTCTCTCTCTCATGCATTAATCTTACATGACATACCTGGTGGAAACAGGCCTATATCTGCCATGAAAGGGCCCTGTGATATTTTCTATAATGTGGCTTTTCATCGATTCAACCAACATGGTCCTAATGCATTTTAAGGCAACCTTCTTTCATACCCACAAATTCTGCCATTGCATCCTCCATGACATGTTGCATCAACTACAATAAACATTAACATCCCCAATTTCTAACCACAATACAAAATCTAAAGTTCTAAACACAACCCATCAGTTTACATACACAGCAAAGTGAAAGCCCCCCCCTCTTCAACAACCACAAAAGTCACCTGCCTTTTAGTTCTTCAATGGGATAAACTCAAAGAACTGGTAAGGAGTAAAGTTAGCGTTCATGGTCTCAGTGGATACATCAGACTCCTTCTCGGCAACACTGCCATTGTGATTACCATCACCACTCCGCAGAGGAAACAGTTGGAGAGTTTGAGAGCCCCCACCGGAAGCTTCATCAACACTATCGTTGCTGACACTTAGCAACTGGTTAGGATCTTGAATCATAAAGAGGCTTTGGTCCATTGCTGTAACTGTTGACGGGGCTGTGATGGTGGCACCAGAATTTATGAGAGGGGTAGAAGAACAACAAGACAGCTGCATCATTTGCCACGTGGCATTCCTTTCTGCTAAGCTCCTCCTTTGTAGTGATTCTCCCTCATCGAACTGTACCCATCCATCTGCTCCAAATTCTGGCACTGCTGCTTTAGCTGTCCTTTGTCTTGAAACAGTTTTCTGAGAAATTAAAGGCATGCAAAATGTAAAAAAGGCTCTTGGTAAAAAAAAAAACCCTAACTGATCAGGGCACTCCATTATCTCTTGAACTCTAAACCTATTGTCTTCTTACCAAAGGCAGCATATCCTGCAGGAGAAATGCTATTTGAATCTTATTTGGAAATGTTATTTAAGAATTTAATAATGTATAACTATTAAATTAGTTGTGGTTCCATCTAATATTAAAATTTACAACTAATAATTGTATTAAAACAATATTATTAGACCCTTAAATAAGATTTTCAAATAACATCCCTATAACATTGCTCTATTATGTACGGTGCATGAGAAACAAAAGTCTATAAGGGCCAACAATGTCATTTCATTACGGGCCAGCCCTATTCCCCAAGATTAGAATGAGTGCGCAAATCACTTGTCTAAATGAAAGGAAAAAGCACCTGACCCAAAAACCCTAGCATTGTCTAATAACCCACAGCAGTCCCGACAGAAAGGAAGGAGTGCAGCTTTTAAGCCCTTTTCATTTCCCAACAAACAAAGCTTTTGCTGCTCCCCCAGGGATGTCTTCTTTTTCATCACAAAACCTAATACGTGCATGAACTTGTAATCATATGCATATTATTACATGATTAATTGGTTCTAATTGCCTTTTGGAGATCAGTGGTACAAAAAACAGTGTTAAACTTTAAAGAAGACAAAGGAAGGTAGTGGACACCTCTGCAAGTGTACTCCAGTTTGTAGGGGGTGCCCAGTTCTTGGTCTGTTCAGCTTCAAAACCTGTCCTATTTGCCCCTGTAGACAAAAAGTAAAACAAAAAGAACACAACTTTACATCTCAAACGGCAAGTGGAATGGAATGGAAAAAAGCATTACAAATGAAACATCAATACAACTTTGCATTTTGAATAAGAAAAGTTGGGAAATGTTAAGGCGGTGTTTAATATTTAGCGTCTATGACCTGGTTCTCTTCTTTCTATGATTTCAACATTGCCGCGTTGTTCATCAGAAACTGATTCAAGTTGCCGCCGGCGTTTCTGGCGCTCTCTAGCCTTGTGATTCTGAAACCAGTAGAAAACATTCTTCCCTTCAATCTTTCCATATCGGCGAAGTTGTGCAGTGATATGTTGAATTTGTTCAGCGGAAGGCGTTCGTGTTCCTCGTCGATACAATTCTTCAAGGGTTTGTAGCTGCTCCGGAGTTGGATTCCACCGTGAGCTCACTACAACCTGCTGTGTACTGAATTCCCTCTTACTTTGCTCAGCCACAGTTGCTGAAACAAATAACAAAAACAAATGGCAAACCCTCATAAGACTTTAATAAGCATAAAAATAGATTAAGAGGAGGAAGGGAGGGAGGGAGAGGCCAAAAGAGTGATTTTGAGCAGGAACATCAACCCCATTGATACGGCTTACATATGGACTATAACAAGCACACACACAAACAAGACCACTAAGAGAGAGAGAGAGAGAGAGAGAGAGAGAGAGAGAGAGAAAGAGAGACCCAAATGGTGATTTAGGGCAAGAACATCAGTGCCATGGATATGGCTTAAATATGGTGAGTTTGCAGTTGCAGTATTCGGAGAAGCAGCAGTTGATGGCCTTGGAATAAGGGTGCGAAGCTTGCGGCCATTGAAAGAATCTGTCATGTTGAACTCTGCCCCATCATTATAACTCATCATCCACATTGTGTAATGACAGAAACTACACAAAGAAACGCTCTCTCTCTCCCTCCTCTCTTTTTCTCTTCCCTCCCTCGTTCTCTCCTCTCGGTTTAGAACCAGGAGAGTTGAATAAAGGATTTTTCAGTGGCAAACCACAAGTGCAACAAGCAATAAGAAGAATACGATGTTAGTATTTATAGATCTCTCTCTCTACTCTCTGCTGTAAGTAAGGTCAAAGGTGTGCTAAGGTGAAGAATGGTGTTTGAATTGCAAAAGAGGGGAAAAAAATGTGCTATAGGGGTGGAAGTGATTCTAGTAGTAGCTTCTCTCTCACTTTGGGAGAATAAAAGGGTTGCATGTAGTATAAATCTTGATGCTAATAAAGAGAATTTTTAGGTGAAAAATAGGTTCTTCAAGCAGATCTGAACACTGGGTATTTGAGTTTCAGAGATAGAGATATAACAATAGAGAGAGAAGGAGAAAGAGAGACAGAGAGGGAATGGTGTTTGTTTAAATTGGAACAATGTGAGGAAGACATGAGGTTGACCGGACTGCTAACATCTGAAGAGAGAGAGAGAGAGCAAAGGGGAAATCAAAAAAGAGCAAAGGAAGGGCAAAGAAGGGGGCAGAAGAAGAGGAGAGAAGAGAAGAGAGAGCGTGGAATTCTGGGAGTTATCGGGAGAAGCGAATGAAAAACGACGTGACGATCATGAGGGTTATCATAAGCCTCATCACCTCTTACACACTCATTTATTGTTCGTCTCATGTCCCGTGCCTTTCACACTTATTCTCAATCCGAACTGCCCCTCCTCTTCCTCTGCTCTCTACCCTTTTCTTTGTCTACCCTCCTTCTCCCTCCTCTCTATTCTCTCCTTCCTTCTCTCCCTCCCACATACCGTATGTATTCATGTATATATAATTCACACCTGCATGTGTACGTCTCATTAAAATCTCCTCGCTTCCGGCACTAATTAATATGTCCGATTTTTCTAATGGGTAAGCTGTGTTAATCGCGTACATATAAGTTGTTAGTTGCAATGTAAATTTTATGGGCAAGTAATTTGAAGTGTTAATAAGTCACGTCATTTAATATTTTTAAATTATATAAGTAATGTCCTTGTATAAAAAATTGATATTGTATATTAGTGGTGTTTGTATTAAACATAGTCATGTTTGCTAAAATACGTTTAATTGAGGAATTTGACAGATTTTCTCTTTTGCTACTTAATCGAGATAAGATTAAATCAAAATTCTTAAACTTCATTTTATTTCAGAATGAATTCAGGAATTGTATATCTTACTTATACGTAATCGCCCACTAATCATGGGTATTCATTATATACGGTGTATGTGAGAATAAAAATTCAAACTTAAAAACTTGCAATTTTACGTGCTTGTGTCTTGTTCATGCACAACCTATTTCGTACGGATCAATCTCAGCCACCCTTTATGCGACCAGAAAACAAAAAACTCTACGCTTATAATGTAGTCGGGCTATAATTCGTTTCATACCCTTATGATTGTCCTTTGTGTTCACATATGATGGAAGGAAATAACACCTNAGGGCAAGAACATCAGTGCCATGGATATGGCTTAAATATGGTGAGTTTGCAGTTGCAGTATTCGGAGAAGCAGCAGTTGATGGCCTTGGAATAAGGGTGCGAAGCTTGCGGCCATTGAAAGAATCTGTCATGTTGAACTCTGCCCCATCATTATAACTCATCATCCACATTGTGTAATGACAGAAACTACACAAAGAAACGCTCTCTCTCTCCCTCCTCTCTTTTTCTCTTCCCTCCCTCGTTCTCTCCTCTCGGTTTAGAACCAGGAGAGTTGAATAAAGGATTTTTCAGTGGCAAACCACAAGTGCAACAAGCAATAAGAAGAATACGATGTTAGTATTTATAGATCTCTCTCTCTACTCTCTGCTGTAAGTAAGGTCAAAGGTGTGCTAAGGTGAAGAATGGTGTTTGAATTGCAAAAGAGGGGAAAAAAATGTGCTATAGGGGTGGAAGTGATTCTAGTAGTAGCTTCTCTCTCACTTTGGGAGAATAAAAGGGTTGCATGTAGTATAAATCTTGATGCTAATAAAGAGAATTTTTAGGTGAAAAATAGGTTCTTCAAGCAGATCTGAACACTGGGTATTTGAGTTTCAGAGATAGAGATATAACAATAGAGAGAGAAGGAGAAAGAGAGACAGAGAGGGAATGGTGTTTGTTTAAATTGGAACAATGTGAGGAAGACATGAGGTTGACCGGACTGCTAACATCTGAAGAGAGAGAGAGAGAGCAAAGGGGAAATCAAAAAAGAGCAAAGGAAGGGCAAAGAAGGGGGCAGAAGAAGAGGAGAGAAGAGAAGAGAGAGCGTGGAATTCTGGGAGTTATCGGGAGAAGCGAATGAAAAACGACGTGACGATCATGAGGGTTATCATAAGCCTCATCACCTCTTACACACTCATTTATTGTTCGTCTCATGTCCCGTGCCTTTCACACTTATTCTCAATCCGAACTGCCCCTCCTCTTCCTCTGCTCTCTACCCTTTTCTTTGTCTACCCTCCTTCTCCCTCCTCTCTATTCTCTCCTTCCTTCTCTCCCTCCCACATACCGTATGTATTCATGTATATATAATTCACACCTGCATGTGTACGTCTCATTAAAATCTCCTCGCTTCCGGCACTAATTAATATGTCCGATTTTTCTAATGGGTAAGCTGTGTTAATCGCGTACATATAAGTTGTTAGTTGCAATGTAAATTTTATGGGCAAGTAATTTGAAGTGTTAATAAGTCACGTCATTTAATATTTTTAAATTATATAAGTAATGTCCTTGTATAAAAAATTGATATTGTATATTAGTGGTGTTTGTATTAAACATAGTCATGTTTGCTAAAATACGTTTAGTTGAGGAATTTGACAGATTTTCTCTTTTGCTACTTAATCGAGATAAGATTAAATCAAAATTCTTAAACTTCATTTTATTTCAGAATGAATTCAGGAATTGTATATCTTACTTATACGTAATCGCCCACTAATCATGGGTATTCATTATATACGGTGTATGTGAGAATAAAAATTCAAACTTAAAAACTTGCAATTTTACGTGCTTGTGTCTTGTTCATGCACAACCTATTTCGTACGGATCAATCTCAGCCACCCTTTATGCGACCAGAAAACAAAAAACTCTACGCTTATAATGTAGTCGGGCTATAATTCGTTTCATACCCTTATGATTGTCCTTTGTGTTCACATATGATGGAAGGAAATAACACCTTTACGTGCTATCACAATTACTGTGTCCCATTTGGAATCTTCTCTGCCTCTTAATTCACATTGAAGTGTCTGTTTCTGTGTCCATGTCTATCCANCGGCGATAGAGGTAATGGTGAAGCGGTTTCAAACACTATTTTTCTTAATATATTTATGAAAAATAATTTATAAAGGTACTTTTAAAAAGTCATTCCAAATACACCCTTAGAGACCCTATTTTTTCTATTAAATTTAGGGTATTAATAGTAGCCGTTAGATTAACTTTAAAGTAAAATTTAAAGCGATCTCAACCGCGAATAGCAAAAGTCATTTTTTTTATCTTTTGAAATTTGAATTGTAAGCTACTTTATTATATAGATTTATATAAATACATATTTTATCATTGTATTTATATATGAAATTAATGTATACGTTATATATATGTATATACCAAACAATTTATAGATAAATAATATATATGTCAACACAAAATAATTAACTTTCCATCCACTTTCGTTTCATTTTTGGAGAGACTGATTTTGGTGAGTTAGAAAAAAAAACTCATTCATCCACTTTTTCATCATTTTTATTTTCCTTCCTTACCAAACTTGATGTTTTATGTATCCCTCTAATTTTTCATCATTCAAACTTTCCACATTTCTATTNACTCATTCATCCACTTTTTCATCCTTCTTATTTTCCTTCCTTACCAAACTTGATGTTTTATGTATCCCTCTAATTTTTCATCANAACTCATTCATCCACTTTTTCATCATTTTTATTTTCCTTCCTTACCAAACTTGATGTTTTATGTATCCCTCTAATTTTTCATCATTCAAACTTTCCACATTTCTATTTTTTCATTTTACCAAACAGAGCATAACATTAGATATAGACATAAACAAATAAGCCCAGTGAAATAAATTATAAAATTTGAGTACGAATTAGAATAGTCAGTCCAAAAATCTATATATCCAACTAATCTGGCTTGATTTCAAATCAGAATTTCGAGTCATTAAGCTACCAAGTCCACGCCTATAACATTCAGTTCTCAGAGTGTCTCTTACCTGTGAAGTTTGAATTGATGGNGTTTGATTTCAAATCAGAATTTCGAGTCATTAAGATACCAAGTCCTCGCCTATAACATTCAGTTCTCAGAGTGTCTCTTACCTGTGAAGTTTGAATTGATGGNTGAAAAATAAAAATGATTATTATAATTTTTTTTTTGGGTTTGCTAAGATGGAAAAATATTTTTTTAATTTTTAATTTTTAGAATTTTTACTTTTAAAATTTTAAAATATATATATATATATATATATATACTAGTTATTGTCTATGTCTGAATGCACATAGTAATAAAAAATGGTAAACAATAAACATATTTTTATTTGTATNGGTTGTTTTGATGTGGTCAATATGTTATAATGTAATTGATAAAGATTGAAGCAGAGTATAAGTTCCACTGTTCAAGTTGTTGATTTCCGCTCTTCTTATTTGCGCCAATTCCATGAAGCTAATGACAGAATGTTTCATTTACAGGCTGATTCTGCAGACAGGTCCAACTTTGCGTGGTCAGTCCCCCCTGTGGGTGCTTACAAAGTGAACTTTGATGGAGCTTTGCCCAATCGGGATTCCTCTGGTGGCTTGGGAGTGGTTATTAGAGATTGTAATGGCCATTTTATGGCGGGATTAAGCTATTGAGTTCTGGGTATTATTTGTCCAAAGCAAGTAGAATTCTAGGCGGATTGGATTACAATAGTTTTATCTTGAAAGAGAAGTCTGAAAAAGTGATTCAATCAATTGTAAAACAGTATAACATACTTTTTCGATAAGTCATTTTATCAACCAAATTAAGTTTTTGACTAAAAGATGTTCTATTTCTCTACTAATTGATATATAATATAGCTAAGTTTGATTTGAATTATATTGATTGCGTTATTTGAAGAGACGTGACATCAGAGTGTATATTGTCTGTTCTCCTAATTGATGTACTATAATATATTGATGAATGAATTACCTTCTTTGTTAAAAAAAATAAAAAATATTTGAATTTAAATAGACCACCAAAAAAAAAAAAACAATGAATGGAAACATATGGAGTGCTACAAGAAAGAGGACGACAAGTGAGACAGCAACTTTATAGACAGTTACGAGTCCTGTCACAGCCAAATAATTGAGCGACTCTATACAAAAGTGCTAGAGACCAAGTTGGCTCCACCAAGTATTTAACCATCTGCAGATCAATTTGCTCTTTGTTAGGTTAACCTGTGAGTACTCTCTTCTCGGCCCACGAAGGACCCAAGAACTGGCGGCATTGATGAACGATTAGAAAGCCATCAAAAGTTGATGGTAGTGGGCCTATTCCCAGTCCCAAAATTTCGTCAAACCATAAATGATAATCCCTTAGTTACAATCTTCACGCCATTGATGATGACGCCCCATTTTTTAAACATTAATGTTATTTGGACGTAATCTAAAGAGATAATTAATTATCACAAATAGATTAATGGTAATATGTATTAAATATGTTTTACTATCAATTTATTGATAACAACTCATTATGTTCCAATTTACCTGAACAATTTTTTTTTTTTTCATCCCATTTCACGCATCCAACAAAAACAACCCCCTCAATTGCAACGCCACTCAGCTGAACCTCTCTCGTTGGTGTGGTCATTCTTTCTTCACTCCCTTGAATTNCAACGCCACTCAACTGAACCTCTCTCGTTGGTGTGGTCATTCTTTCTTCACTCCCTTGAATTATGTATTAGGGTTTCAATGCATTTAACTTGTAATTTAGGTAATTTTTTTCCCTGTTCCTAGGTTTTTATCCGTTGTTGGACTTGCACTAGAAAGTTTTAGGATATACATTGCTTTGTTGGTATACATTTTCGTTGCTTTTGATTTGTAGTAATACTTTTAAGTAGGAATGCAATAAACATGAAAATTAAATGAATTTAGTAATGAAATGAAATATGTATTACCATTTCTATGTTTGACAATTACTTAAAATCAAGTCCCGGAATGGAATGCACATTCCATTCCAACGTTTAGATAAGATAATTTTTAACGGAAAGAAATAAAATTTAGAATATTTTTTACTCAAATGCAATGAAAATTAAACAAAATAAATTTTTTATTATTAAATTTTCACTTAATTCGCATAACATCCTCTCTTACAATAAGGATACTTATTAATTTTAAAACTTAACAAACAAAATAAAAATATGCAATCGCCATAATCCTAATTTAATTTATTGGCAAAAAATATCAAGAAATCCATGTAAAAATAATTTGCTTAGTATAAGGCTAAGTTTTACGGGAAGATATTTCTTTAGGAAAAGCGATATTTGTTTTTTATAAAAAAAAGTTAGATTTCTATTTATCAAATCACCTAAAAATTCAATGGATCGTATAATACATAAAATCATATAAAAAAAATAAAATACCTAAAAAAAACCATAAATTTATTCACTCTAAATTTTAAT